AGACGTTCAAACTAATATCACGTAATTTATGTCTCTATGATGATTGGTTGATATCAGAAGGGAGGCTAGCCTCCCCTGCCAGGTTTCTTTTCTCAACACTCCTCAGCGCTGAAAGTGAACACTCGATGGTGATTGGCTAATTTTTTTTACCAACAGAGGCACGAGAGCTCAGCTCTCCTCCGGCCTCCCCCTCCCCTTCTCTATCACCTAGCGGTTGTAATTAAATCAGCAGATTCGGCACATTCGCGATAGAAAAGCGGCGCTTTCACTTTATGGTATTACAACTGTGAAATTACAAACAAAAAATACACGTTCTGAGACATGAACTGAAATGAATTGTGAATTTTATTAACATTAAATTGTCTTCCTCCCATTTTCACCTCAAAATTTTGGGGAAGCTGTGCCTCCCCTGCCTCCCCCGACGAGCCGCCACTGCACATGGATACACACATAAACACTCACAGTGTATTGAAAGTTGACATTTTATGTTCTGATTAATGTTGTCTTGACGAGCACATTTCACTGTGCTATTACTGTCAGTTTGATTTTGATTCAAACTTGTAATTAATTCATTTATTTTATTTCATCACAGGGATTTATTTGTTTGTTTGTTTATATTGGCTGGTACTCTGTGCTTAATTTTTATTTTATTCTATTTTATTTTATTCATTTGTACTCTGTTCCTAATTTTACAAGTAGACTTGGATTTCAGAGTCAATCCATTGTTTAGAAAAAAAGAAATGAATATAAACAGTGCAATATTAAGTATAATTTACACCATTTTGAGTTATACACAAACCAATTCACCTTGGGTTTTCATCTTGTCTTTAGTGTTACTGACAAGCCTGGCAGTTTTTATTAATATTTTACTTTATTTGTGCCCAAAGTATATAAAACATATTTAATTTTGATTACAGATTTTTATTTTATTTATTTTATTTTTTGTGTGTGTGTATTTTGTTTTATTCAATCACTGGCTTTATTTTATTTTTAATTATTTTATTTTATTTATTTATTATTATTATTATTATTATTATTTTTTTTTTAATTCTCTCTGGTTGTAGATCACTTTGTGTGATGTCATATTATTCCTTGCTTAATTAAAATGAATATCTGTTGTGTTATATTTTTGTTTGTGTGTATTAGGTGAGGAATGGTGCCACCCTGGTCTTGTCCCGAGTTCTGCACACTCAGCAGTCTTTCGACCAGAACCAAGACAACCATGAAGAAAGTTAGTGACTTTCAGTTATACTGAAGTCTTAAAGGTCCCATATTGTCAAAACTGAAATTTCCTGGCTTTTTTCACGATTACTGAGGTCTAGGGGCTATTTAACTAAGTTTCAAAACAGTCAGTCCACAGTAAAATGCACACAGCCTGCTTAAAGTTCTAGCTATTTTTCACGAACCGTTGTGACTTCCGTAAAAAGTTGACGTCTTAAGGACATCAAAACCTCAAATAAAACTCCAGAAAGGTGTACAATATGGGACCTTTAAACTACTCCAGTTGTATTTTAATGACACCAGTGCATTGCTTCTTATTGATCCCCCTTAATAGTCTAAACATATTGACAGTCCTTAATGATAGAAAAACACAGAATGACTTAAATCTGCTGGCGCACTAAATAGACAGTGAACTAGAACTGAACCCAGACTAATGGGCCGCTCGAGTATGCCTAAAATAACTGTTCTCCAAACAGGAAGAGCAATCAGTCTTTCAAATGTGCTTGTTTTGTGATGAACAGGAAATGCTTTGCTGGAGGATGATAAAGTATTTCACCTGGTGAGACCGGCAGATGAGTTGGATGAAGTGAAATCAAAGAGAGGGAGTATGAAAGACAAGGCCACGACGAAAGCCATCACTGAGATTTACCTGACTAGACTCCTCTCTATGAAGGTGGGTTAGACTGGGTATTTACTTACATTTTAAATGTTTGTTTTCATTCACATGAATTGAATTGGAAATTGAATTAGATAGTGATGCACTGTGATGTGCTTGTGTTACAGGGCACGCTGCAGCAGTTTGTGGATGATTTCTTCCGCAGTGTGTTGTGTTCCGGAACCGTGGTTCCTCCTGCAGTCAAGTATTTCTTTGACTTCCTGGACGAACAAGCACAAAAACATGACAACGTTGATGATGAGACCATCCACATATGGAAGACCAACAGGTTTGAAACACTTAAAGGGACAGTTCATTTAAAAATTTAATTTTTTTTTTTTTTTTTCCTTAAAATTATTATTATACAGTGAAATTCAGTGGAGTACGAAACAACATTGGGCTCTTGTATTGTATTATATTATATTATATTATATTATATTATAAAAGTTAAATGACAAAGGGTTCCTTTTAAAAATGTTATTGTATAGTATTATAAATATATTATTTACATTCAACTGTGTCATTACATCAGTTAATAAAGCTGTGTTGTGCATGAATGCATCATATCCAGTAGGATGCCACTATTATTTTGTACAATATGTGCACAGCAGGAGGTGGTTGTTTAAAGTGACAGACATTCTTTCTGTGACTAGACCAGCTTTCTGCTTCATGAATTCACACGAGCGCGGCAGTTCACATGTACAGACGTGACAGCCATCCGTCTTTACTTGTCTTTCATTATCAATTATGGTACTGAATTTTATGCTGGTTTGACCCATGAACTCTTGCGATTAAAAAGTTAACTTTCACAATGAATTAATTGAATTAAAACACAGTTCCTAACTTTTGGGACAAATTATAATAGTATCTATTCATAACTAGGTACTTGTTCACATATAACTAACCACAACTTTACAGTTCTCACAACAACAATAATAATAAACCGTCCTGTGCAGCAGAGATTTGAAAACTCCGGAGGGAAATGCTCGGAACCCTTTTTAACTCAGGAGATTAAATTATGCAGGCTTTGTTGAGCCCTGATAAAATATTCACAGTGTGTCTTGTTCGATGAGCAGAGAGATTGACAGCTGCTTGAAGTGCACACTTCTCTTTCACATCCCCATCAGTGGTCCATTAAATTACTCCTCTCATTATTGTTTTGCAGAAGAACCTTGACTGCTGGGTTAGTCACAAAAAAGGGTTTGATTTGTTTTCAAGGGTTTATTCTGAGTCGAGGCCAACGGGACTCTGGTATTGACTCTGTATGGATCGCTCGCAGCTCCTTTCCCAAAAGGGCCGTTGGGATGTTGTTATATTAAAATCTCACTCCAAACTCTGAGATGACTTTTTTCTCTCTCTGAAAAATGATGTTCTTTGATTGAATGAGGAGGTGCTGATACATGCATTAGATCAAGGGATTTAAAAAAAACAGCTCTGGAGGAATGAAGACAAAGTGCCTCATTTAAAATAAAATGACATTTCTATTCAGTAGAGGGTTTGTTGAGCTTGTCTTCATTAAGCTAAATTGATTGGTTCTTTGTGCTTAATTTAAAAGATAGACTTGAGATAAAAAAAAGTTTTACCTTGGGTTTTCATTTTGTCTTTAGTGTTACTGACAAATCTGGGCAGTTTTTATATTAATATTTTACTTCCATTTGTGCCCTGAGTATCTTAAAAAATGTAGTTTGAAGAAATGATTGGTAGACTGTCCTTCAAACTATTTATATTTATTTAAATTATATATGATATTTTATATATTATTTGTATTTTTGCAGTCCTACAAATTTTTATTTTATTTTATTCTTTTATTCTTTTTTTTTTTTAAATTCCACCTGTAAATGTTGATACTAACAATCATTTTTTAAATGTTCAATTATAGTTTTGTTTTGTCCTTGCAAGTCATTTAATAAGAACGCGTCTGCAAAGAAATAAATGCACATGGATCTGTGTGTTTGTTTCTTCAGTCTGCCTCTCCGGTTCTGGGTGAACATTTTGAAAAACCCTCACTTCATCTTTGACGTTCATGTGACTGAAGTGGTGGACGCCTCTCTGTCCGTCATCGCCCAGACCTTCATGGACGCCTGCACCAAGACTGAGCACAAACTTACCCGGGTGAGCAGCAAGAGTTGAAGTTGTAGTTTATCAATCCTATAATTTCGTCTTGGCTTTCTGTTTCATATTTCCTCTCTTGATCTCTGCTTCACAGGAGTCTCCCAGCAACAAGCTGCTTTATGCAAAAGAAATCTCCACTTACAAGAAGATGGTTGATGAGTAGGTTTCTGTTCTGTTCATCAGTTGGTACATGTGTTATCACAGTTGAAAAAACAACAACAACAACACCACACTCATGTTCTCTGTGCTCTTCAGTTATTATAAAGGCATCCGTCAGATGGTTCCAGTCAGTGACCAAGACATGAACACACACCTTGCAGAAGTTTCACGTGTAAGTTTGTTTATAAGTTTATAATTTATTTCATGTAATTTGTATTTTATTATTTTATTTTTATATTTTGTCATTTAATTTTTTCTCATTATCTTATTTTATTATTTTCCAAAATTTGTTGTTTTGTCATTTTTATTGTTAATGTAATTTGCATTTTGTTTTGTTTTATTAATAAATGTATAATTTCACGTTCATATTGTATTTTATGCATTATGCAGTTTTATATTTTGTGATTTTTATTTTTTATATTTTTTCATGTTTATTTTTTTTTTATTTAGTGAAATTTTTATTTTTATGTCATTCATTTATTTTATATTTTTATTTAATTTTAAAATTGTATGTCATTTTTTTGTATTATTATATTGTATTTCATTGTATTTCATGCATGTTATTGTAAACGGCAAATTGAACTCCTTATCTTTCTCCAGTCTCATACAGATAAGTTGAATACCCAGGTTGCATTGCACCAGCTTTACCAGTATGCCAGCAAGTACTACGATGGGGTAGGTGTTGTTACACATCAGAGTATGTGTGTTGAACTCCAGCCATTTCCATACCTGCACACATACAGTACTCTGGTACACTTTTTCTTTCTTTCTTGAGATCAACAAGTAAACGGTACAAATTTCTGTCTCTTACCACTCCATCCATAGATCATCTCGTCGCTGGAGAACGATCCTGCCGCCCAGAGCAAACAGCTGACCCTCAGACTGCAGCAGATTGCCGCCGCATTAGAGAATAAAGTGACCGACCTTTAGTGCCGAGGAGCCCAGACTCAAGAAAGGAGACGGAAGTGCTACTAAACCCAGGACGGAGCTCAATTTAATGGGCTCAGAAATAAGAACAGACCTTCTGGAGGACTCTTGTTTTTGGAGCCTCCGCTCTGGCGAGTGAAAGATAAAGCGAGGAGGAACACAGACTAATTGCAGACCCTTCCTCTCCACACGGCTTTCAGCTTTGCTCAGAGGGACCAATATAATATACTCTGACCTGAGGGGAACATCACAACCGTCGAGGAGAGCGAAAACTCACTATGGTACTTCTCAGATCAGCACCTGCACAATGAAAACCCAACATTTATTTTTGTGTTCTGCTATGCCAATAATCAGATGTTCAGTATATTGTTCCTGTGTAGATGAATTAAAATAGTATTATATGTAAATATATTTTTACACTCAAGGCTGCAAGAGGCTTTAGACAAAAGAGATTGATTATTGTTTCTGTGGAAGCCCGCTGTTTTGATTTCCGGTGTATTTTAAGTGCCACTCTCATTCCTGTGCAGTGATGATGTCACATCCTGTGGGTGCTTTGATGCCGTTGGCTCACGGTTCAGTTTGTGGTACCACTATCAGTTTGTATAGGTGTTTGCGATGCTGACATCCGAGCCAGTGCTTTTTTTTGTCCCTCCCAAATATTTTTAGCGTATTTATCAGTGATTGCGTACAGTAATGTCAGTTAATGAATCAGTAAAGTCCGATTCTAATTCAGCCACAATGCAAAGAAACGTATGATTTTTGATCCATGCATTTGATTCATGACACACAGACACTCAGAACAAAAGCCACAGAAGCTTTTATCTCCCCTTGCTTTGGTGTCTGATCCAGCAGTTGCGTTTTTATGTTTTGTACCATGTTTGCTTTTATATATGTGCACTTTGACACATGGCTTGCCTTATTTTATGACACAGTTATGATTCTGTATTTTAAATCAACAATATTTGATTTGATCAAGGAAGTTTGCATTGCTGGTTGCCTTTCTTAAGAAATAAGTAACACATGTATGGTAGAGAATTTTCTTGAATGTGATAATGAAATACGAACGCGACTTTGCCTTAACAGCAAGAGTTTGGACTGAGAGCGGCTCATTTGCCAATTAAATCATGATATCCTAGAATTGAAATTTTGTTTATTGGTACTATTTTATTTTGAAAACACAAACTTTTTTTTCTTTTTTTTTTAATTATGTTTTTTATTTAGAGTTTACCAAAGTTTAAATAAATGTTTTGCAGCTGTCCGCAACCACCTAAAGCTTCTGTTGTTTTATATGTATCAAATGATCAAGTTTAAAGTGTAATTTAATTACTAAAAAAGATATAATGGTAAGGCAGCTAATGGTAAGTCATCTAATAGAATATGTAAATGGTACGGTTTTCCTACCTGTATGTTCTGACTCAAATGTGCCAAACTCTCCACACTCTTAATGACAAAAGGGTAATGAGGACAATATTGTTTCTTCATGAACTTTACTAGTGTGACTTGTGTTGCCTTTGGTAGGCGGTGACAAAGTCGCACTGCAGCCAATCAGAGGCTGGCACCGCCCATTCTGAGCATGATGGACACAGCAGGAAATGCCTTTGAACTGTAAATATAGACCAACTGCCAAGATTTCATATTCTTCTCTCCTTTTTCTCGCTCTTCCTGCCAGTTCTTCTGTGTTGTCTAGCTATGACCGTGTCAATGGCTTATTGTAAAGCTTCTTGTTTGCCTTCCCTTACCAGGCAGTGCCTTACAAATACAAGTAATAATGATCAATTGTGTGGTGATTGTGTCTGCATTAAAATTGCAATAGGGTCCTTAATCATGTTTCTGTGTTTTTGTGAGAACTGTTCGCTATTTCTTTAAATGTATGTGTTGGCCTGTTAAATGATGTTAAACGCTAATAATTTCTAATCTAGCCCTGCAAGGAAATCTGAAATACCTGGCAGATGGTAAGATGGCATCGGAGATGAGGTAAGACTTGGGATGAGTGGTTTTCTTAATTTGTTAAAATTATCAGTCATTTAAACAGTCATTTTATTGTTATGTGAGTGGCAAAATTATAATATTAATACTAATGGATACTTAATTTGATGCCCATTAATATCTAATCAACTCAGTTTGTTCAGTGGTCCCCACAGTAAGTGTTTGTTTTCAAGCAACAATACACAATTGCTGGGCCAAATGTTGAGATTTTGGGTAACAACTGAATGTTTTAACAAATTTGGAGGCGATAAGATCAATAAATCAAGTCCAAAAAACGTGCATTTGAAAGCATCTTCTGTCTAGAGACCAATACTAAAGGAAGAAATGGTATCTGTGATGTATGTAGATTAGGATGCCATCACATTAACTTACTGCAGAAGGTGGGAGTGACTGTAAATGGTTTGTACTGTATAATGTCCAAGCCATTACTGTCAGTGTTAACCCTTTGGGGTCGACAAACGCTGATACGCGTTTTGTGGCATCTTCTCCTGATAACACCGAAAAGAACTTAAATTACACTTTCAGTTTTGATCTTACAGATAAGAGCAATACATCAATCGAATCTGTAAATGGTCTACTTTTATTTGTTATGGTGCTACTAAACTTAGCCATTAAAATGTTTATTAGCAACTGAAAAAAGCACAAATGTCAGGACATGTCAAAACTTCTCCAGGGCCCAAAACACCCTTGGATCCCAGAGGGTTAATGTGCTTTCCAGGAAATCAATGCACCAGTCTGAAATATTACAACATGAATATTTATACAAGTAACTTCACAGTGATGTTATCGTTAACTAAAACTGAAACAAAAAAAAAACATTTTTGTTAATTGAAAAAAAAAAGCTGAAATAAAATACATGCCGAAAAACTTTGGAATGTCGCTTTGGTAACTAAATGACATTTTAAGCACAAAAATCTAATTTTAAACTATTTAGAAATATATCTTAAAAAGACTAATAACAAAAAAACTAATAAAAATGTCAAAATCAAAAAAAAAATATAATAATTTAAAATGATAATGTAAAAATAAAAGCTCATCAATGTTAAAAAAAACTATAATAGTATATAAATATAAAGTAACTGTTTTACAGGAACTCGAATGCTGTTGGACTCAATGTTGCACTATATGTGCTGATATTCAGTACAACAGCACTCTTGTGTATTTTTTCCACGTCTGCCATCAAAAATAGTCCCAAATAAAGTCTTTTTTTTTTTTTTTACATGTCGGCGAGGAACACTGACTGAAATCCGGTCTGAAACGGAGTATGTCAGTTGTGTGGAAAATGAGAACGTTTATAATTGTTTAGTTGTTTGTGCACTGGATCTGTCCAGTCATGGTAAAGAATAGGAATAATCATTTTTAAAAAGAGGTAAAGAGAGGATTGCAAAACCCCTCTCTCCTTCTAGCCCTCCACACGGTTAACTATTTCACTTTATTTTTAAGTATAGGCATTAATTGTTGTTTTCTCCTGAATGGTCCTGCCTGAAGGCCTGAGAGCTTTCAGGGTAAACTAGGACACGGATCACTTCCTGTCCTCAGCATGAGTCAAACATGGACATATGTGAGTTAACTCCAACATAAAGACGAGGCTGTGACGCCATTTACTGAAGGCCAACAAGCAAAAGGACATTAAATTAGATGTTGTGTGCTGGAGTTGTTTGTTCACTTCACTTCCCAGGTATTTTCAGGCACTTTCCTCTTCAGGTTCTGCCTCTTAGTGTGAGGTTTATTTTGTTCCAGGAATAGAATGCCAGTATCACATGTGTTTACCTACTGTAAAATGAGCTATAAACACTTGTTAACAACGTTAATATACTGCCCTCTGCTGCACAAATCCTTCACTACACCCATTCTAGAGTAAAAAAAGGAGGGAGAAATCAATTAATTATGTTCCTGTGGTATCATTGACTGCTCCTGTGATGGGAAAGTACAAAACAAAAACGGCCCTTCTTTCCGTGACTAAGAATAGCGCTGAATAGTCCAAGGTCTAAATGGAGTTGTAGACTGACCTGATGACTCTAAAGCATTAAGCGTTCTCGGGGAGTTTTAATCTAAGTGTAAGTGGAGGCACAGTGAAGAGAAGTAACGCTTGTGAAAAGGCCACGTGTATGACTCACTACCGGTTGAATACAGAGAGAGAGAATAAGAAAATAAGTTATATTCTAGAATGTATCCACCTTAAAAGGACGAAGACAATTTTACAGATCTAATCAGTAGTTGCTATCCACACTAAATCAAATAACTATGGTGGCCTGTTTCCACCATGGAATATAAATAAAAAATAAGTTATTGCGACTTTTTATTTCACAATTCGGACAGAAATGCAAGATATAAAATCATAATTGCAAGATATAACTCACAATTCTGAAGAAAAAAGTCAGAATTGCTAGATAAAAACTCATTCTCGCTATTTTTCTTGCAATTCTGAGTTTACATCTCAGTTGTTGTTGTTTTTTTCCTACCACAGAATTTCTTTTAAAAAAGTGACCTTTATCTCAATTCTGACAATCTTACAAATCTGAGTTTGTCAGCAAGCTTCCACAGATAACAGATAAAGCACTGTGCTGTAGTCTTTATTCTTTTCTGATGCTCTATGTGGCGTTATTCATGTCACTGGTCAGATCCTCTAGCCATTTGATCACCATAGTGTTCTGTTTTTTTATTTGTTTTGTTTTGTTCTATGTTGTACACGACTCAGAGACCCATTTCCACCCAGAGCAGCATGTATAATTAGTCAATGTCCTCACCTGCCTGCTAAAACAACTGGCAAAAGGCTGAGAGCACTGAGACATTTACTGTGTGATGCTGAATGCTTCTCCTAATAAGCTACAATCCATCTATATCTGTCATTCTACCATTTTCACATGCAACATACTTCTGTATACATCACTGTAATTATTGTGTTGTTTATCTGCAGATCTCAACCTTTGTAACTTATAATACAAAATTAAATTAAAGATAATATGTCTATTATAATATATATTATTATATATGATTATTAATAATATATTAGCAACATATTATTAATATTTTATAATTTATATATGATGACGATGATGATTATACTAGATATGTTAATATTTATGATTAGAAATAGTAATAATATGCAAGTTGCAAAGAATACAAAATGTTAGTTTACATTTTGGACTATATGTTGGTTTTATCATTTTAATTGTTAAATTAATAATAATAATAGTAATACATTTGTGCTGCAAAATTATGATTGTTCTTATATTTATTACATATTAATATACTATATATGTCAATGTATTTATTAATATGCAAAATGCAAAAAAAAAAGTGGTAAAAATGTCTTATAATTATAACAAAAAACATTATTATTATTGTTATTATTAATGTTCATATATTAACTATAATTTGTTATAATTAATTTTTTTTGCAAGTTTGCTTTGACCTCTGGTTAAGAACCACTAATCTAAAGAGAATGTAAAATTGCACACACTGTATTTTTATTCTTGTAATTAGCTTTGCCTTTCCAAGAGCGTTATCAGCCCTCTTCCCAACACACACACACACACACACACACACACACACAAACACAAACACTAGACACATTCAGACTCAGCCATCAGACTGCACTTCCCTCATCCTCACTCTCTCCTCATCCCTCCATTCATCCTTCTCCCGGCCAATTCCAGTAATCTCGGATTTCCATCTCTTTGATTGACTTTGGCAAAGTTTAAAGCATGGGCTGTGGGAATTCCACCTCTGCCAGCACAGCTGCAGGTAAGTGTGCTGCTTTTCTACCTTTACGTCTGTGTGCACAAGTGTGTGAGTCTGTTTGTTGCTGTGTGTGGTCTCTGTAAACAAGGCCATGTCTGCTCATGTGAGTTTAGCCATCCAGTCATCTTTCTCTCCTCCACTAACCACTGGCTGCTGGCCAGATGCTCTCATGTTGTGAATGGGAGTTCTGAGTGTCTGTCAGGACTGAATCATTCACACATCTAGATTCACTGTGTGTGTGTGTGTGTGTGTGTGTGTGTGTGTGTGTGTGTGTGTGTGTGTATGTGTGTGTGTGTGTGTGTGTGTGTGTGTGTGTGTGTTCTGTCCTCAGTCATTCTTCAGAAATCAGCAGAGTTAGACGGCAATCTGAACAGCGCTTTAGTATGAGTCATCTCACATGGGTACACACACACACACACACACAAATAAACAGGAGCCGAGGCAGGAATGGGCATGAATAAATATGAACCGCTTTGTGAGGGTCTTAGTGGAGTCATCAAACAGTCATTTTGAATAGCATTTTAAGCATTACAGGGTGATGAAAAGATGTTATTTGCATTGTAAATCAGACTTGTGTCTGCAGGAATTCATGGATTTTAGTGGATTGTACTTTACAAAAATTTGTTTCCATTTATTTCAAATTGTTATCATATTTGATTATAATCAAAGTATATCTTAACAGAATGTAATGTTACGACTGATTGTAATGTAATGATGTAATGAAGTCTATGGTCTAATATTTCTGTGGAGAGCTAGCCAATATGTATTTTTCCTTCCCTATCATTCATATATGATATTAATAGACACATAACCACCTGTCAGAACTTTAAGAACTGTACTTGCGCGCACACACACACACTAGTGTTCGCTGATGACTCATAGTTTGATTGACCAGACATTGGATGGAGCTCTCGCCATATCAGCGAATGACAAATCTGCCCAACAACACTTTCCCTACATCTTTATTACATTGTAATAACACAATAACTACATAATTACTTGCACTGATTTTTAATCAATTCACTTTTAATCAATCCGTTTTCTTTCAAGCAAGTGGAAATGTCGGTTAAGCAGATGAATCAGATTCAAGAGAGCAATAAATATGTTCTTTTAAAATGACTCCATGTGTATACTGTATACTGTATATAATGATCAAGGAACATATGGCATGACTAATTTGTGTTTGTTTATTTCCACAGGTCCATCTGAGTCAGCCATAGATGTGTGAGTATTACCAGGACAGCAAAAATATACCGTGGCACCCATAGTTTTCACATAATAAAAAAAATGTATATGCATGTACTGTATGCACAGATGCACAGAAATATGATGGTTAAACTTTAAAAATTATATTAATTACAGTTATTATATTATTATATTATATTATTACATTAACAATATTACGCATAAAAGTAACAATACTCACATAACAATATACTGGTATTAGGTAACGCTGGTTTTGTGGTGACAAATTTTTGTACATTTGCGGTGGATTCATTTTTTTCTGAAGTCTCGTCATATTTTTTTTCAAAGGCTCTGACTTCAGAAAGAGAGAATATATAACCAGGAGGGAAGATACTGGTAATCCTCGCAGTGTCCTTCAGTTTTTGGAACTGCTTGTCAATCAATTTCCCTTCTTAGAAAAAAACATTGTGGGGTTTTGAACACTGCCTGTCATTTTCCAAACAGTTCCTGGAATTACTCTCTCACATCTGAACAACAAGCACCCACACAGCAGGACAGAGTCTCGCGTGCACATATCAAGTCCTTGACTGCCACTAAAAAACACACTCACCACAAAAACACCATCACTGAAACACCATGTTCACAAGTCTCTTTTGAGAACAATGTTAGACTTGCCATACTAAAAGCTCTGCTAATCAATTCTCAGAGCTTCTAATCAAGGTTCTCTGTAGGATAATCTCTCCAAACTCCTAATTTGATGCATGACCCCTCAAGACTTAATGGACCACACAATTTGCCAGATATGATACTCAAAATTTGTTCAGTCAAATGCAATCATTTACTCCAGGGCTGCTAAAAGGTTTGTTGCTATTGAGACTTTTACAGTAATATGGATAATAAAGCAACAAACTTTTCTAAGTTGTGCTTTCTGCCTCTTACATCAGCCCATTGGATCATCTCTTGGTTCTGTTCTGGTTGTGGGCCCACAGGCAGGACGATTCATCAATGGACGATGAGAAGAGGAGGAACTATGGTGGAGTGTATGTGGGCTTACCTGCAGACCTCAGCAACGTGGCCACCGGACAAACACCCTCCACACACAAAGGTGAGAAACAGACCCAGTGATACATGCACTTCCACAGGTGTCTTGAGTAAAAAAAACAAAAACAAACATATGCATGTCCAGAATTAAAAACTGGTGCTTGCAAGGCAGCAAAATAACAGGGTTTTAGTTTTTAAATAAAAAAAAAAAAAATGTTTTTTTTTTTAGGTTTTATCTTAACTTCAGATCCATTATTAAAAGATGTTTTCAAATATCCTCAGATGTTCACTTATAAAAGATCTCAAATTTTGGCAAATATGTTAGTTAGATGTTGTACGCAATGACAAGAAGTTGTTTTCCATTTCGGAATTGTACATCATGTTCTTCTGTGTTACAGTGTAAAAACTTTACATGTCTTTCTACAAAAAAAGTGTATCAGATTAAAATCCTGTATAACATGTTATACTAAAAATGTTATTTATTTGCTTCAATGCTCTTTTCCATTGATGTATATTGGAAAGGAAAGACATCAAAGTCATCAAGAATTAGAGTAAGTGAACATAAATCAGCTATTCATAGACATGGCGTTACTTCTCCGGTCGGCAGACATTTTATTGATTGTAACCATGATATAGAACAACTTAACGTGCAGTAATGGCATTGAAGTAGTGAAAGTTTCTCGCTGTGGTGGAGATACTTATAAACAGTATTGGGGAAAGGGGCATTACAATATTGCGTTACTCCCTAAAAAAGTAACTAATTACGTTACTTAGTTACTTTTTATGGAAGGTAATGCGTTATATTACTTTTGCGTTACTTTCGCGTTACTTTTTAAATATAAGCAGGGCTTGATTGTTTTTAATATAAGAAGTTCTATTTATAGCAAATATAAAAGCCCTTTCACACCAAAAAGTGTAATGAATAAACCTCAGGCTGAAGCAAAAGCAAATAAACGTCTGTACAGTAGAACGCAGGAGAAGAAACCTACGGTGGCCGAGAAGTGCTAAACAAATCACAATTCTGAAAACAAAATAACAAATTACAAACGCAAATGCAAGTCTAAAAAACAAAATAACAATTCAGAAAGCACAACAACAATTCAGAAAACATTATAACAAGTCAGAAAACACAATGACAAATTCGAAAACAAAATAAGTCAGAAAACACAAGGACAAATCTGAAAACAAATTAACAAGTCAGAAAACACAACGACAAATCAGACAAACCGGAAGAGGTAGGTATAGTTTGAGACAGCGCCATTGGTTTGGGATTACTCACCGCTGACTGGACGAGACATCTGTCAATCAACGTATACAGGGAAGAACCAGCCGAAGAACAGCAGAGTCCTGGTACAAAGTTCGGAGATGGTATTAAAGTAGCTCAGTTTAAATGTATTGTATGAATTGCCCTTACTATGTAATAAAAAAATACGGAGTATATATTTACATTTAGTTAAAAGTGGCTATAAAACATCTGCTCCAGTGGCGCAGATGGATAAGTGTGTGTTGTTGGCTTTTTGATGCGATCGACCCGGGTTCGATCCCACCTTTTGCCGAACTTTTTTTTCTCTCCCTTTTCAAATCTCGTATCACATCGTAAAGGCATTTATTTTCAATAAAAATTAAGGAAATAATCAAAAAGTTGAAAATAAAGTATCGGGTAGGGTTAGGGTAGGTGTAGGGAGGGCTTTATTGTACCAATAAGGTGGCATCCATTTAATAATTAAAATAAAAATGATAATTTACACTCATTAGATACATTTGTGTTATTTAACATATTTAATTATTGCAGGTTTGCGTCATATTCTGAGTTTGCATTTCACTGTTTTAATTCATTTTGATGAATACTAAATCTGTTTTTTGTGAGTGGGATGAATTACTGCACATTCACATTTAGTCTAGAACTACAGTAACATCATGTTCACACAGCGCACACAATGCCTCTGTACTCCCGATTTCTCCCAATATGGGGACAGGAGAGCTGTCAGTCAATAAATGGGAAAACAAAGTAACTCAGATATTTTCTTGTAAATTAAAAAAGTAATGCGTTACTTTACTAGTTACTTGAAAAAAGTAATCTGATTACATAACTCGCATTACTTGTAACGAGTTACCCCCAACACTGCTTATATAAAAAAAACAACTCTTAGAAAGAGAGGCATTTTTGGGATGTTTTACTTAAAGACAATGTCACCTTTGGGTTGAAATTAGGATTTTGACCTTTCATGTTTTCTGTATTTAATTTTTTTTTTTTTTTGGGGTACAATGTTTATGAACGCCATTTTTGCCTGATGTGGTATTGTTCCCATTAATTAATTTTTGATGTTAAGGTGGAGTCTGTGGATTGGTGAATTATAATCACCTGATGTATGTTGTTTGTTATATAATCATCGAGAAGATAGACAGATGATAGACGAAGACAGATAGCTGAAATGTTTGTTATCCCCTGCTTTGATTCAAATAAAAGACTTTAGAGTGCAGACCTTTTGTTATGTTTGAAGAAATATAGGTCGTGGCACCTAATTCAGCTGGGCGAGCACGGTGATTTGTATTGATTAGGTTTTAGCTAATGAAAGAAAATGTAAACGCCTTTTTTTTTACAGTCAGTGTCAGACAATCAAAACAGAAAACAGGTGCCTAATGAAGGTTAAATAGATGCAAGAAACAAAAGAGTAATTAAAATGAACTGTATAGGTGTAAAAAAAAATAAAAAATAAATCCCAACACAAAATCACAATCCAGAATGAATATTTTATGATGATGTCATTGTTGTCAGCGTAGCAATAGTCAGAGCAAAATTAATATCCAGGACACATACTGGTGTTCAAATCTCGGGACACATCTTTTTAAGTGTTAATTTGATGCTGTCTTAAACCAGAACAGTGGCATGATGTTCTAAGTCAAGAAAATAGACCTACTTATGAATTTTGTACCTTTTTTCTCTCCTTACCTTGTTAATCCAATGAGACACACACATTTTGAAAGAGAAAGTAGGCTAGAGGAAGTGTGAGTGTGAATGCAGTCAGAATGAAGTTTCTTCAGTGTCCTAAGAATCAGCCTCCTCTTCCTGAAACTTATTACTCACACAATGGAAACCAATTTCCTCAATTCACTCTGGTCTCATGTAAAGAATTAACGGAGACATGGAGATTTCTAAAAATTAAAAAAATCTTAAATTAAAGCAATGAATTATATTTAGGACTGCAGTGTGAGTTAGGACACTTTACGTGTGTGTGTGTGTGTGTGTGTGTGTGTGTGTGTGTGTGGGGTGAGTTGTTCCTGGAGGCTCTGGGATGTGTTAATTGGAGAAACATCTCTCCGCAGGGAAAGCGTAAAGTGCGGAGTACCAAAAAGAGTGCTAACAAAGCTAAGGGTTTGTATGTGGGGGGAAACACAGTGTTGTTATTGGTAACTAAAACTAAATTTAGTCAAAATCATTTTCAGTAATTGAAATAAAGCTGAAATAAAATGAAATATAATTATTAAATGAAAAAAAAGATTTTTGAAATGCTTTTTTGAAACTAATTAAAGCTATATAGAAATATTTTTTTAAATGTTAGAAAAAAATAAGTGAGAAAGCAGTGCAAATAAAGTAAAAATTACTTAAAACTTAACTACTTAATTACTAAAACATATACTACCCAGGTTACTACCCTGAAGTTTTCACCCTGTATGTATGTATGTATGTATGTATGTGTATGTATATCAACTAATGCATATTTTCTTCAACAGAATAATGATATTCTGAGCTGAAGGCACAGATAAAGGTAAGCCCATCTTTGTTTTCTTACAACTTCAAAGTATATCACTTCTTTGTGGCTTAAAATTCATACACATTTGGGTGTTTAATTTTACATCTTTAAAAAAGCAAAGCAAACAACATAAATCATATGAAGAAACGAGCTGCCTACATAGGTAGCTAGCTTTTAAGGGAACCTAACAGTAATAAGTGACTGATTTGGAATGCTGGGCAGCAACTCTGTGTGACACGAATCAATTGATTTCAATGGAGTTTGACATTAGCATGTCGCTAAGCTAACAGTGCAACACTCTAAAAGGCATAAAAAATACACAGCACACACAAATATTGAGCACAATAACCCATTTTGAATTATACTGAATTATACTGTTTTTAACAACACCTTTCACTACTAAATGAAATTATATTTAGACTGTTTTTCTTACTTGGTCCACCATCTTGGATTTTCTTCACTAAGCTTATTGAAGAAGGATGCATGTAATTCATTCTGCCTGAAAATTGAGTTAAAACAAGGTATTTGACATCCATTTGGAAAAGATGTTGTGTCTGACGTACCTTTAAAATGCTGCTTAAAAAGAAAGGTTCCAAAAGAGGGGTTTCACAGCAATGCATAGAAGAACAATTTTTGGTTCCCCAAAGTGAACCGTTCTTAAAAGAACCATTTCATTTCTCATTGTAAAGAACGTTTTAATAATCTAAAGAACCTTTTCCCACCACACCCTTAAAAATGAAAGGTTCTTTATTGGCATCAATGTTTCCATGAAGAACCTTTAAAATCCATTTAACCTTCGATTGCACAGTAAAGTTTCTTTATAGTGGAAAAAAAGTTATTTAGATTATTAAACTATTTTTCACACTAAGAAAAAAATGTTGTTTTAAGAACTGATTTCTGAAAGGTTCTTTGGGTTGTTATTGCATCGTTACGAAACCCCTTTATTTTTAAGAGTATATTGTGGACTGCAAAGATTTCATGGATGTTCAAGGTTCTTCATGGCCAGAGCAAAAGTTTTTTCGACAGATACACAATGTATTTGAATGTACCTTGACTGCTCACTTTCTTATTTACTTCGCAGGGCTTTCCGGAGGGAATTTTGGCTGAAAAGTGCAGCGTAATAATCTCAACAGGACGCAATTTTCGTCATCGTTGATTGGCTCATTGGGACACGCCGGAATCCTCTGAGAGCCAATCATCTAATTGAACTCTCTGGAAACTGAACTGGAATTAGTTCTGCTGACAAGGTCAGAGGTCAAAGACAAATCTGAGATTGTTAGCATCACTCAGCGCATTTAAGGGCAACTGTTACCAGCACCTTGTTTCTCAGGACAATGACACACAGGTGTTAATGACAATCACAGAGCAATGAAGATACTGTAAATGTGTCTCTGAGCTCAACCTTTTCCCTCTGATGTTGCTGTCTGTCACATGTTTATCAAGAGGTTTCACAAGTTGTTTTTAAGTAAGGCACTTTTTATGCACTTATGAGTCTGTGTTTTTGTTCTTTCACTCTTTCTACTTGATTCACATCCTTTGAGACACTCTTCTCTAGTCTTAACAACAAGCATGTATAAGAAAAAAATTTGTTGAGTGTCATGTTTGCAAGATGACTAAAGAAGTACAGTACATGAAGTGCCTTTGAAGGAACTTGTTGCTGGTCTATCAGGTGAGTCCTCAAGCCCCGTACGGTCTTCTGGAGGTGAAATCAAGGGTTATGTGTTTGTGATGGGGTTTAAGGTCCCTCCATCTCTGTAATCTAATTAGAGTGACCCAGTGAGAGCCTCTGAAGAACAAGTTTTAAAACGAGTGTATCTGTGCTAGCAGCACCTGACCTGTGAGAACACCGAGGACTGTGTAAGTAGGCTAGCACTCACACGTTTCAGCATCAGGTCAGCTGGAACACACACACTCCTGTGACACAGGGGACAAGAGATGAGGAGAGAAAGACGGAGAGTGATAGAAAGAAAGGGACCGCTTGAGCCAGACTGTGTCACAGCGGGTGCTGAATGAGACACTGATTCCTGAGGGATGGCAGGATGTGAGCCGACACTGTGACACGGGTTCTAGCTGAACTCCCATAACTCCCGTGAACTCACTTTTCTCACTCCTTAAAGAGACAGTTTCCCAAAAAAAAGAAAATGTTTTGTCACTTACTTGCCCGCATGTCATTCCAAACCTGTATACCTTTTTTCTTTTGTGTCTCACAAAAGGAGGAATTTTGAAGGATGTACTGGTCATATTATGGGCTATATAATTACCATAAAACATCATAAAAGTAATATCATGTTAGTATTATTATTTTAGATTTTAAATTTAAGTTTGGGGTCAATAAGATTATTTTAAAGAAATAAGTGTCTCATGCTCACCAAGGCTGCATTTATTTGATCAAAAATACAGCAAAACATTAATTTAAAAAAATATATTATTACAATTTAAAAGAGCTCTATTATAATATATTTTAAAATGTAATTTATTCCTGTGAAGGCAAAGCTGAATTTTCAGCAGCCATTATTCCAGTCTTCAGTGTCACACGATCCTTCAGAAATCATCCTAATATGCTGATTTGCTGTTCAAGAAACATTTCTTATTATTATGAATGTTGAAAACAGTTGTGCTTAATATATTTGTGCAAACCTTGATACCTTTATTTTCAGGATTATTTGATGTTAAAAGTTTTTAAAATAATATTTATTTGAAGTAGAAATCTGCTGTAACATTATAATATATATA